TGTGTTCATTACAAGTGGTGCTATGGACAGGATACCTGGTACTAACTCTCCATAATGTGGTACTGCCTCACACTATTACCGGTACTACATTTTGTAAATGTTGAGCAGAATTGAAATAATCAATTTTTCTTCAAAAAAGTAGGTACTATTCGATCGAAATCAGGTACCACGCAGAATAGGATGCGGTACCATATTTCCCAAAACTGGTACTATTATCAAAAACGCGATTTCTTTAATCCTTCATGTCTACCATGACACGTGGATCGTTCACACATGATTTGGATGAAGAAAGTGTAATTGAAGATATATAGATAGAATTTTAAGTAGTCATGTATGATGATTTCTATGAGATGAAGTGTGTCATTCAATGAAATGAAGTCTATTAGTAGTGTTTTCTCATTAGTGTATCGAATTCATGACTAATTTGCGATTAAACTCCATCAAAAACATTTAAAATCTTATATAACTAATGCAAGAGTGATTATGAGTCGTATAAACATCATTTGCGACCGAAGTTTGGTCTTCTTATGTGTTCATTACAAGTGGTACTATGGACAGGATATCTGGTACTAACTATCCATAATGTGGTACTGCCTCACACTACGACTGGTACTGTGTTTTGTAAATGTTGAGCAGAATTGAAATAATCAATTTTTCTTCAAAAAAGTAGGTACTATTCGATCGAAATTAGGTACCACGCAGAATAAATTGCGGTACCATATTCCCAAAACTGGTACTATTATAAAAAAATATGATTCCTTTAATCCTTAATGTCTACCATGACACGTAGATCGTTCACGTGTGATTTGGATGAAAAAAGTAAGATTGAAAAAATATAGATAGAATTTGAAGTAGTCATTTATGATGATTTCTATGAGATGAAGTGTGTCATTCAATGAAATGAAGTCTATTAGTAGTGTTTTCTCATTAGCGTATCGAGTTCACGACCAATTTGGGATTAAACTCAATCATAAAAATTTAAAATCTTATATAAACTAACTCCAGAGTGATTATGACTCGTATAGACATCATATTCGACCGAAATTCGGTCTTCTTATGTGTTCATTACAAGTGGTACTATGGACCGGGTATCTGGTACTAACTCTCCATAATGTGGTACTGCCTCACACTATGACTGGTACTACGATTTGTAAATGTTGAGCAGAATTGATATAATCAAAATTTCTTCAAAAAAGTAGGTATTATTCGATCGAAATTAGGTACTACACAGATTAAGATGTGGTGCCATATTTCTCAAAACCGGTACTATTATAAAAAACGCTATTTCTTTAATCCTTTATGTCTACCATGACACGTGGATCGTTCACACGTGATTTGGGTGAAAAAAAGTGGAATTGAAAACATATAGATAGAATTTGAAGTAGTCATGTATGATGATTTCTATGAGATGAAGTGTGTCATTCAATGAACTGAAGTCTATTAGTAGTGTTTTCTCATTAGTGTATCGAGTTCATGACCAATTTGCGATTAAACTCAATAAAAAAAACCTTTAAAATCTTATATAAACAAATGTGAGAGTGATTATGGGTCGTATAAACATCATTTGCAACCGAAATTCGGTCTTCTTATGTGTTTATTACAAGTGGTACTATAGATACTATATCTGGTACTAACACGCCATAAAGTGGTGATGTCTTACACTATGACTGGTACTACTTTTTGTAAATATTAACCACTATGAAATAATCAATTTTTCTTAACAAAAAGCAGGTACTAATCGATCAAAAGCAGGTGCCATGTAGAAGAAGATGCAGTACTATTTTGCCTAAAACTGGTACAATTTTAATGAGATGAAGTGTTGGTAGTATTTTTCATTAGTGTGTCAAGTTCGCGACTAATTTGCAATTAAACATAATTAAAAATATTATCAATCTCATAAAAACTAGTGTGAATGTGATTATTTGTTATGTAAACATCATTTGAGACCGAAATTCGGTGTTTTATGTGTTTGTTACAAGTGGTACTGATGAGCTAATATCTGGTACTATAACAATACAAAACTGGTACTATTGTGAAGAAAATAGGTACTACTATGAATAGAAACTGTACAGTTTAAGAACACATCCTTAAATGAGTACTAGCTGCTGGAAAATGAGTACTTTTACACAAAAAATGCGGTACTAATATTAAGAAAACATGTATCATTAGGAATCAAATCAAAAAAATTCAAAACTTCAATTCAAACTACTTAGTCCACAAACCATCATCCATAAAATTACAATCATCCCATCAAACAATCAAACTAATAGGACATCCATCGAAGTATGATCTTCGCTCGATTGGAAATGCTGAACTAGATTGCCAACCAAGAATTTGAAGTTTGAGGAGGCATAACTACATCTTATTAAAAAACACTCGTCCTGCTCAGAGTCAAGGAACTTAAATCAACCCAAAGAAAAAAAAAAAAAGAGTCGCCCGTAGGTTGGCACAACACCGTCTGGTAGTTCCCACATACAACAACTGTTTGCGAGTGGCTGAAAACTGTGGTTATGTTAAAGAGATCCCAACACTTGACATCCATGAAAAACGAGTTTGGTGACTGAACAAGACGCTTAAACTTATGCTTCCTCTTCTCGAGCTCCGCCGACAGGTTGAGCAAATCGATGTAGTTTGGGAAAACCATTTTTGTCAGAAAATTGGAGGCGCAGAGCTGTGAGGTTGTACAAGAGGAGAAGGAAAACGACCAACACTACACATAACTGAACAATAGGAACTGTTAAAAGCAGATTGAAGCTGATAATGGCTTTTTTGTATGCAAAACCCTCCTCTGTTGAAAATTAAACTAAATAGGAGAAATATAAGTACACAAATAGCAGAGTTGGGAGGAACAAAAAAAAAAAAAAAAAA